CAAAGAAAAATAAATATACACGTAACACAGGCTGAAGAAAGAATCAACTATGTGTTAACAACAGCAAATTTTCAAAGATGGGATTTAATTGTCTGAACAAAAGTTATAGACAATAAAATAGAATGTAAAAACACCAAAAATAGAGGAAGCCATTTTTATATTCAGAAGTAATATTATCAATTGGTTATTTTACTTTAAAATCAGTTGGTCCTGTGGAAGATTGAATGGGTTGAAAAATTTGGTATTATAAAAATATTCAAATCATCCACAAAGAAAAAGGAAAGAAAGATGAAGTATAAATCCTAAATTTTTATATTCCAGTAATTGTTGAGGTGTTTTTACAAAATTGTATTTTTTTTAGTCCAGTTTCTTCTCATGAAGAGAATTTAAAAGCTGAATTCTTGAATAGTAATAATTTACATTTTTTAAATTCTGTGTAAATTTTATCTTTCTCTGTGAATTAGATGCTCATTAAATTTATTTTAAGTTGGTATCCACTCAGTAAGGATACAGTATATTAATTTTCAATAAAAATATTTTTATTTTGTCTGAAATAGATTAATACAGTGGTTCTCAAATGGTACAGTGTGCTTCATAAGTGCAGTAAAAGAGGATAGCAGGTGAGGCATAATGATTGAAAGACAAAGATCTAGAAACAGTTTCAAAAAATTCATATGCCAAAAATAAATATGATTTCAAAATTTAAAATATTATTATAGATTCCTTGTAATTGTATGCATGAGTCCCAGTATAAATAGTTATAAATAATTATTGACCAATTTTATTACAATATTTTTGCATTATATCAAGTATTAAGAATCTAGTAACTAGGCTCCACAAATTGGAGGAGAGAGTTATCAATGATAATGTTCAAAACTATGGTTATCTCCTTTTAATCCCCTGATTTTTTTTTTATTATTAAATGTACTTTTTATCACATAAAATTTGGTGAGGTGCAAGTTAATTTTAATTCCAAAACTGCAGCCCAGAGAAAAAAAAGTTGGAAATTACTGACTTAACAGAACATGTTGTTCTAATAATATGTCCACTATAATTTGAATTTAATTTATTCATTTTACCAAATCTTAAGTTATACAGATCTTTTAAGTTTTTCTTTACAAACACTACAGTCTGGACATTTGTCCTTAAAAGAAAAAAAAATGCTGACCTTCCAAGTTTTGTTCTGATAATTAAAACCTTTTGTCATGTTAACTTAACAAAATGGTTGTTCATTTCTACAACCTTCTTCATGTGCCTAATTCATAAGAAAAGAGACTGTTTATTGTTTTTTTTTATGACACAAGATGGTTGTGTCAATAGCCACAATGCAAAGAGTTCTATTGTTCAAACTTGGAATGTTAATAATTGAATTGCAAAGTTACAGACAATAATTACAATTACCTTCACCATTTTAAGTCTAACCTTTAGAGTACTCTTCAAAAAGATGATAAGAGATGATTGACCTAATGAAGTACTGCTCTGATATATTTTAATGACTGAATGAAACCATTTCACTCTCTTTCTCTCTAAAGAGAAATTCATATATTACTAGTATCATCACCTCCTCTATCTTTCCTTTCTTTTTCTCTCTAAAACCAAAATGTCTCTATTATAGCCTTTTCTTCTGTCTTCACTCACAATCAAAATAGAATGGTCCATTATTTATCTGAGGTAATGGTAGAGTATAACACACATGCTAACTTACTAACAGAAGAACAAGAAAAATTGTTATATTATTATTATTATGGATAGTGTTAGCAATTGGTTATTCTTATTAAGATTAATCAGTCCAAAACACTTTATTTAAAATGAATTTAAAAAAATTTAAGTCAATAAATTTCTGTCTGAAATTCTGGGATGAGGAATTATTATTTACACTGTTTACCTACAGACTATTTTACTCATCTTTTTTATTGTTATCAGAACATTTCAGTCATTATGCCTTCTGGACTTCATCAGTTGTATATTGATCTAGGTAACCAAACTGATGAAGGTTGGAAGGAACAAATACCGAAACTTTGTGATAAAAAAAATAATAAAGATGAGGACAATAGTCCAAGTGTGGATAACACAAATCATCAATAAATTTCACCCTAATTTTTTGTTTTTTTTATAATGCAAAGTCATTCATAAAAATGTAAATTGTTCCAATATTCTCTCCTTTGCTTAATTATTACTTCTAATTATCTGAACAACCCATTCCCAAAGTGATTGCAATAGTTGTTTTTTTGTGTAATTGTGAATTTCTTTCTTTGTTTCATAATGGAATCATGGATTTCCTATTTTCCGTTTGTTGGCACAATGGCCAAATAGGCTTTGGTGTTATGAATATTCAAAATCAGGTGAGAATTCTTTTCGTTGTCTTGAACAAATGCCAAAGTAAAGGTTTTTTTTTTTTTTTTTTTTTTCCAAATAAGAGTGCAACAAATAAGCCACAATAAGGTTATTGGAATTCATTAGATAAAACATTCAATTTTGCTAACTATTATTTGATGTCAGTCTGAGAGTTGCAATAAAAATTAAGATTATCAAAGAAATACTAGTAAAAAAAAAATAACAGATGCATCTTAGTCATTTAAGTAATATTAACACTACTTGTGTATCCCAACAAAGATTGGCTGCTTCTCAGGCATTAAGGTTTGGTTGGTTGATTTTTGACACGTTATCCCTTGTTGGGTTATTTAATGCCCATTTTTGTATGGGGCACTCAGTGAGGATAGTACTCACTACTCAGTAATAATAGTCAACCATATTAATATATATAATATATTAATATGTATTAAGGAAAAATAAGAAAGCTTTCTGGTTAGTTTTAAACTAGTGTATTTGTAATCTAATCAATAAAGCAGCTGCCTTGGAGACACAGGCTTTCTGAGAATAAACGATGCAAGTTTGGGTCTTGCAAGAGGCTACTTTCTAACAATCATAGAATGAAGTTCTAAGAATTGTGATTAGAGCAATATAAATAAAAGGTAAGTAACATTCATTGATAATGAATTATTATGACAAGAAATTTAAGGATTATTACATTGTATACTACTAGTAGAATAAAAAAAAGCAACAGAAATAAGATGAAAGAAAAACTAGTCAAGAACAAATTCTAATGACAATTCCTCAGCTAAGAAATTCAAGGACAATTATATCTAATACTAGTAGTAGAATAAAAAAAAGCAACAGAAATAAAATAATGGAAATAATCATTAAAAATTAATAATTCTAAAAAGCCTCTTAAATGGAAGATGTATTTAAATTAGAAGAAACAGGGAAATGAGTGACATCAGAATGTTCGCTTTTAGAAGATAAAAAAAATTGATTTTCTATAACCTATGATATCATAGGTAGGATGTATTAAACAAATGTCAGAACTTTCATTCAATATGATTATATATATATATATATATATATATATATATATATATATATAACATAGCAAATAATAGAAGTTGATAGGAGGTAAGCAAAATTGGCATATGTATAGTCTGAAGGTGGCTTATATTGGAAAGAAACCACTTATATACAGGTAGAAAATAAATTCAGTAAATACTCAAAATTAGAAGGAGCATAAGATAGGGAAGTGTCTTAACCGAACTTATTTGACCTTTCTAGTTAAGCAATCCCTAGAGAACTAGAAGTCCTACCAGGATTTATTATTGACACCTACAATCTTAACAACATTAGATATGAAGATGACGGTGTTGATAGCAGATATGGAATGGGAACTACAGGAACTCATATGGAAAGTAATAAAGGAAAGCGAAAAGAAAAGACTAAACCTCAATTGTAAGAAGACAGAATGTATGGTTGTCAGCAAAAGGGCTAGCCCAAGATGCAAGCTACAAAACGGAGATGCCAAAATCATACAAGTAAAAAGATTTAAATATGTGGGAAGTGTTTTAACAGAGGATAGAAAATGTGACACTGAAATCCAAAAGTGCATTGGAATAGTGAAAGATGTCTTTGAAAAGCTAAGAATAGTATTAAGAAACAGGAAAATTTCAATAGAAACAAAGAAAAAAGTGATGTAATATTGATCTTCATATATGGCAGTGAATACTGGACAATCTCCTCACAGATGAAGAAGAGACTTGAGGCATCAGAAGTGTGGTTCTACAGAAGGATGCTGAGGATACCATAGACAGAACACATGAGTAATGAGGAAGCTTTAAGGAAAATGAAAACAAAAAAGACACTTAGAATCAGAAAGTGATGGTTGGAATTTCTGGGCCATATGAGGAAAGAGTACTTGGAGAATTTACTACTTATAGGACATTGAAGGCAAGAGATAGAATAAAGTAGCAAGTAACCAACCAAGAGAGCTTGTATAGATGAGTAACAAAACAGAGAGAGAGAGAGAGAGAGAGAGCAATGGTGAAAAGATAAACCTTACTAAGAGCTACAAAGGATAGGAAACTTTGGAGAGCCATGGTTGCCCAAAAGAAATGGTAATAAAATAGGGATTATATAGAATCAATACATAAAAATCAAATAATTAATAAGGATTAACAAACAAGTAATGAGACTAAATTTGTTAAACATCAGATAATATTACTACTAATACTACTACTTTTTTAAACAATAAACATTGCCAAAGAGTGAGGGTAGTTAAAAAAATGATATCATGGGAAAAACAGTCCCTTTGACACTACATCTTATTGCGGGTATGTTTATCCAGATTTACCTAAATATGAAAGAGAGAGATTTATCTCCAAATGAACTAAATTGGCAACTCTGATGCTAATCTATTTACAAATGATCCTGTCATTTTTGATGGGTAATATTGCCAGTTTATAATGATTAAAATGTCTTGTTGGAAGAACCAAGTTTCATTTAATGCATGAACCTAAATGTAAACTTAGAGATACATTGGGACATACATTTTCTAAATAAGGATCTACTACTGTTGAATTGATGGAACATTTATAAGAAAATTTTACTGAGGTACAGCTCTCCAATGAGTAATTCTAAGCCATTATCCATTAAACCAACCGCACATCCAAGCTTATAGCACATAGCATTCCCAAATGGAGACCCATCCAGATACTGACCAATCTCGATGTTGCTTAACTTCAGTGATCATACAGAAACCGGTGTTTCAATGTGATATGGCTGTAAGCCTACATGTAAATAGTGTAAATAATAACTTCTCATCTGAGAAATTTAGAGAGAAAATTTTTAAAATGTTTTTTTTAAATTTGTATAGTTGCAATTAGCACAAAAAAATATACAAAGTGATTGAATGACCGTTACTCATGTATTTGTAAATAGTAAAAAAAGAAAAAGAAAACAAAAAAATCACAGGCTATGTCAGATCTACTTATCGGATAAATGAATTGTTCCTTTAACAACATGGTGACTAATGTTATTTGTAGACAGCCCCCAATTCCAAATAATTGTCTTATTTAATAGGAATTCTCTTTGAGAGTTTATCAGGAATGTGAAATCAGACAAGACTTGTCTGCTTTTGAAAATCTGGAGCTACTTAATTTTGCATTTTGCAATTTTTGGAGCTACTTTTAAAATATAAATAGACTATTTTGCCAGCCCAAGAAAAAGAGACACCAAGGCTATTTTGTCAGTAAATATAAATAGTGTTTTAGAACTAAAAATATATTTGAGATCATCAGTGTAGTGGGTGTGTGAACTGTGTAGGCAGGACTTGAACAACATAGATTCTGTGGTCTGTGACTGTTGTCTGCAGTGGGTGCACCTGAAGTGTATTGGCAACAGAACCATACCCAAGGGCAAGTTTAGGATTTGCAAAGACTTATGCCTGAAGTGCTAAAAATATTCAGAGATTTCTATATTTCTTCTAATAATTGATCATGAATAAATGATTTTAACTTGTGTTTTAACAATTGATGATGGAAAAGATTTTAAATTGTCTTAACAATTGGTGAAAATAAATAAACTTCTGTGTCAAAACTGTTATTTTCAATATTACCTGCCTTCATAATAATAAAAGTATTTACCAGCGAGATAGCCTGGGGGTCTATTTTCCCAAGACTGGTAAAATAAGCTTAAAAGCATGTTTGTCTATTTTACCATGTGCAGCAAAATAGCCTCTTTCCTTAAAATAAGCACGACGAATTTGAGAGGAAAGGCAATTTGAAATTTACTAGCATTGAGCTTTTAAATGTTGTCTAATTTGGCATGACTACTTTGGGGCTACATGGTGTATGTTTTTGTGAGCATAAATAAATATTAAGGATTGGGTCTTGAAGTAAATATTTATCTTCTCTTTCAGTTCAGTTAAAAATGAAAAGCAGGATTACCACATTAGCTTACTTTTGAAAGAGCATTTAATTTTTGTTATATCTCATGCAAGATATAATAAACAAAGTAACCCAAGTGTTGGTTTTCAATAATAGGTTTATAATCGGATGTAGGTGTGTCAAGTACAGAGACAGAGTCGGGAGTATGCTAACCTCAATAGGTGTTAACAAATGAAGACCTTTTGACTGTCCGCTGTGGTCGTACTTAATCGGTAACCAGTCCGTCCATTATCGTGAATGGGTAAGTTGGGTTATATCATCACAACACCTTCCCCCTGAAGCTGAAATTTTCCCTTTTGAAAATTTCTGCTTCTAATGTTGTCTTCTTTTTGGATCCGGCTAAAACGCTCCACTGGTTTTCTTTCCCGTGTGCTCCTTCTTTTAGTCGTCACAATTAGATCCTTTTTTGGCGAAGATAATTTCCGCTTTTCAGCCCGTAAGGCTGGTCCATGAGACACAGGTTCATATACACTATTGGGTAGTGTCATGTTAAAAAGCATCGCATAACACTTCCATCGAATTTCTTCTTTGCTTTTTTCACTTTCTTCACCATATCGTGGTCTAATCTGATTGATGTGTCTTTTACACGTAAATTTTTACTTTTGATCGTGTAGACCACTTTACCAATCCTTTTCTGGATTATGCCATCCATCCAATAGCTTTTTCCACTTTTAAAATTTAAAAAAAAAACTTTTGTCTCCTGAAGTGTATTTTTTTATGTTGACTTTTTCCTCTTTCTTAGCAACTTTTTTGTTTTGGTAGGGTAACAATCTATCGAAAATTGATCTAATTTTCCTTGCGAACATAATTTCTGCCGGTGACATTTTCGCACCGTTGTTCTCATTAGAGTTACCCTATAGATTGCTAAGAACTTCTGAATAGTTCTTTCTTCCGTGTCCATACCTTTATTTTTACGTAAAGCACGTTTAAAAGTGTCAACAAATTTCTCAGCTTGACCGTTCGACCTGGGATGACACATTGGTGTAGTTATGTGTTCAATGTCTAAGGCAGTACAGAAATCCTTAAACTCCATACTTGTGAACGCCGTACCATTGTTGCTAACCAATGTCCTGGGAACCCCGAAACGACTGAAAATTTCATCCAATGCACTGATGGTGTTCCTAGATGTAGGATGCTTGCACTTGACTACCTCAGGCCATTTCGATAAAGAGTCCACCAATATCAAATAATAGTACCCATTAATTGGTCCAGCATAGTCTATATGTAGACGTGCCCACAGCAAATCCGTTTTCGGCCAAGGATTCATTTTAACCGGAGGTGCCCTTGCAGCCAATTGACAACCTCTACATAGTCTTACAAAACCTTCAATATCCTTGTCCATTCCTGGCCAGTATACGTAACCACGCATGAGTGATTTCATCCGAGACATTCCAGGATGACCGGTATGAAATTCTTTCAGCATATCTGTACGTAGAGATTGAGGTATAACAATTCTATCTGCGTACATCAACGTGTTGTTGCAAATTGAAAAAGGTGAAATCTGAGTTCCCTTTTTCTGTCTTTTGTTCCGTCTCGTCTGGTTCCTTAATTTCACAATATAGTGATCTTTTTCCACTTTTATTATTTGGTCCAAAGTTACCGGCAATTCCCTGATTGTATTCAACAAGAGACCTGATATTTCTTTTTCCTCAGTTAATGCTGCTATAACCATCTCTTCTAAAATTTCTTCATTTTTTGGAATCAGCCTTGACAGTCCATCCGCATGCCCATGTTCTTTAGATTTGACGTATTCCATCCTAAAATGGTAATTAAGCAGGGTTACACCCAATCGCTGTAAGCGATTAGCTGTATCGTAGGAATGCCTTTTTACCTCAAATATTGTAAAAAACGGTGTATGGTCCGTTTGAAGTACAAATGATCTACCATGTAAAAAGTGATGGTATTTTTTAACCCCGAACACAATCGACAAAGCCTCTTTCTCGATCTGGCTATAATTTTTTCAGCCAGAAGAAGAGTCCTCGACGTCTTGTGCCGATCGGTTTAGTAGTGCCATCTTCATATTTGTGTAGCAGTGCAGCACCCACCCATACAAACTTGCGTCAGTTGCCAGAATGATCTCTTTCTCAGGATCATAATGTGCTAAGGCAAGATCTGAGAGTAGGCATTTTTTTATTTTCTGAAAAGCCGTCTCACAATCTTTTGACCAAAACCATTTCTTGTCTTTTTTTTTTCAACAATTCGTTAAGGGGGCTCTTAAATCATACATTTTAGGTATGTAGATTGCATAATATTGTGCCAACCCCAGAAACAATTGTAGTTTCACCAACTGTGTCGGGTGCAGGCATGTTCTTAATTGCATCGGCTCTCTGTGGGTCCGGTTTCCTGCCTTCACTGTCTATCACCTGTCCGAGGTATGTAATTCTTTCCATGAAGAATTTACACTTCTCGTGGCTTAATTTAAAGCCAAAATCTTCTAGTCTTTTGAATATCGCTCTGATGTGCGTTTTATGTTCTTGAACATTCTTACTTTTGACTAGAATGTCATCTAAATAGGCGGTACCAAACTCAAGGCCTGCCAGCATAGTGTCCATCACCTGTTGGAACAAAGCTGGGGCGACCTTTAAGCCGAAAGGAAGCTTATTTAGCTTATAAATACCTTTATGTGTATTTATACACAAATATTTTGAGCATTTGTCACTCACTTTAATCTGCCAGTATGCGTCAGACAGGTCGATTTTTGAAAAAATCTTACCACCATTCAACTTTGAAAAAATATCAACTGTGATTTTTAAGGCAATCATTTAACCCTGTTGAAAAATCTGCGCACACTCTTATTTTTCCGTTTTTCTTCTTAACATAAACTGTGGGCGAGGCCCAATCTGCATGGTCAACCTTAGATATCACTCCCATTTTTTCAAGCCTTTCCAATTCCTTATTAATTGTCTCTAAGGAGGAAAAAGGAACGTTTCTCTTAGGTTTAAAAATTGGTTTCACATTTTCCTCGAGTTCAAATTTGACTTCCGTCTTAGTACATAAACCCAATTCCTCAGAAAAAACTCTGGGATATTCTTTTAATTCATTCATGAATTTTTCATTTTTAATACTTTTTTGTTTTTCTGCACTGCTTATTACGTTGCAAAATGAGTTAATCGGGAGTTCAAACAAATCAAAGAGTACTATCCAGTCTACTCCAAAAAGACATGAATTAATCCCTTGGATTACATACACTTTCGTTTTTGCAGTCTTGCCACATAACAAAATATCGCACTTTAATTCTCCCTTAAAGTTTAATTTCTTTCCTGAAACCCCACAAGCGGTTTTTTTGGTTTCAGATAATTTGGGTCTTCCAATATTTTTCCATGTTTGTTCATCAATGATGCTTATGTCTGAATCAGAATCCAATAGGAAAGTAATTGTATGATTATTTATACGTACATCTACGTACTTGCTATTTTTACCGTTCTGAATTTCTTTTTCTGATAATACCAGGCTTACATCTTGTAATTTCCTTTTCTTGCGGCAAACCGAATATTTATGCCCTTTATTTCCGCACGATTGACAGAATTTATTTTTGTACCAACACACGTCTTTGGTATGATTTTTCTTTCCGGACGATTGGCAGAATTTATTTTTGTACCAACACGTGTTTTTGGTATGGTTATTTTTTCCACACGTCTCACATTTTTCTATCTTTTTGGCTTTTGGAGTTTGAGTTTTTACGTGTCGAACATTAGCAACACTTTTCTCCTCAATTTGTGTATTATCCCTTTTTACGTTTATGAGACGTTGGCATTCTTCGGTCACCCTTTGTAATGTTATTTTCGAGTCTTGCTCGATCATTATTAATATTCTCGACCTAATTTCTTTATATTTAGGATCAGTTAGTCCTTGAAGAAAAGTTAGGCACTTGAATACATCTTTGGGAATTTCTTCTAACTTGAATTGTTCAAGCAGAGAGTTCACTGTTCCCGCGTACGTCAAAAAATCCTCGTTATCTGCTTTAACGAGGTTTAGGCATCTGTATCGCGTGTGGAACTGACTATTCCTTTCGTCAAATATTTTTGACAGAATACTTATAGTTTCTTCAAACGAAACTTCTGGCTTTCTGGGCAATATCAAGTTTGAGTACTTCGTATTCTCGTTTGTCCCTAGTTTCTGGAATAATAATGTTACTCGTTCCTCATCCGACCAATGTTGACATCTCTTGGTAAATATAGTTTCGAAACGTTTAAAGTATGCTGGAAATGTAATGCCCGAATCAGGTTCATATTTAAATTCAGATAATGAATTTGCTATTCCTTCGGCAGAAAAAACAGCATTTTTTCTTTCTCCAGTCGTCTGTTTCAGAATTTTTTTGAGACTTTTTTGCTGTTGAAGTATCTGTTGTAACTCTTGGTGCTGTTGTTGTTGCTGTAACTCTTGATGCTGTTGTAAGCTTGTACACAGCATTTTAGCCATTTCGACTAATTGCTCCATCCTGACTTTATTTAGAATTCGACAAAAAAAAAAAAAAAAAAAAATTTTTTTTGACGGTTAACAGACAATTTACAGCCGTAATATTTTTACAACCCGTAATTTTTACTTGAATAATCAATTATTAGACTGTCTTTGAGTCGTGGTTCAATATATATTTTTCAAATCACAATTTAACAGTAAAAATTTTCTTACTTTTCAAAAACTATTGTCCTCATCTTTATCGCCATATTTATTACAACATTTCGCCTATTGTATGCTCTGGCCTTCTTCAGGTGGTTGGAATGTTGAATTGAACCCTTTATTTCGCTCACTGGGGTACATGGAACAGTGGATAAAGGTGTTGGTTAGATCCAGTAACAGGACCCAAAGAGTGTGAGTTCAATACTCATTTAAGGCAGTGGAGAACTTGGAGAGGGGAATTAACAGAAGATAACTGACATCCATTAAACATGGCACATGGAACTAGAACAGTCTATTCCAGTGAGCAAAATAAAGGGTTCAGTTCGACATTCCAACCACCTGAAGAAGGCTGAAGCGTACAATGGCTGAAATGTTGTAATAAATATGGCGACAAAGAGGAGGACAATAGTCCAAATAATGTAAATAGTGTAATCTAGGCTAACTTGTTCAATGAATAAAATGAATGTCAATTCAAAACTTAATAGCACTGGGGTTTCAAATATGCCTATTTTTCTACTTGTAACCCAACCCAGTAACACAATCCCTTCAATGTCCTATGAGTGTCAAATTTACCAAGCCCTCTTTCCCCATTATATGCACTTGAAATTTCAACTATTTCTTTCCAATTATAAATGTAAGCATCTTTTTTCTTTTCAATTTACTTCTGTGAGAGGATTCATTCGCTGCCATACAGGAGGACTGATATTTTCTCTGTTTCTATCAAAATTCTTCTATCTTTTAATACTTTGCTTAGGTTTTGGAGAGTACTTTTCACTATTCTAATATCCCTTCAGATTTTAGCGTCATATTTTCTGTAACCTTACTGATTATAAAATTAAAAAAAAAAAAAAAAAAAAAAAAAGCCAAAAGATTAGAATTTTTATTGCTTCATTTATTTTTTTATGACTTATCAACTTTTTGCAGGTTATTTAAAGCCAGAAAATATTTTTAGATTGTAAGAATTTTTTGGGAGATAATAATGATTTTATTGATACAAGTTCTACTAATTAACCTATAGCTCATGGGGTAAGAAGTGGATTTATATATTCCCCAAGGGTATTCATGTGTAATTGATTATAACAAACCCAACAGGAATTGGAACTTGACTCCCTGATTTCCAATTCTGAGCCAATATCCATTATACCACCTGGACATTCAAGTTGACAGCACCTGGTAGTCCCAAAAGGTCACCCATCTAGGTACTGATCTAGTTTGATGTTACTTAACTCCAGCAACAATATCATTGGGTAGAAATTTAATCAGATAATTTAAACCTTTTTGAAGGTGGAGGACTACTTGTGTTGAAAAGTTCTGGCATTTTACTAAATAAATGTGAGTTTAATCTGGGATAACCACAAAATGTCATCCATTGAGGTCAGATATAAGTAAGGGCCTCTAACCTTCTGATTTAGTCAGGCGATGTTGATTAACAAAACAGGTTGTCTAAACATTCAGTTCTCTGTGAGCTGAGGAACTACAGAGTATAATCTAACATTATTATTATTATTATTATGCACTGATTTTCAAGATAGATATATGTATGTAGCTACCTGATGGCTATGAGTTCAATCCTTGGGTAAAGCAGAAAGATTCATACATTTAGTTTCTTTTTGTTTGATTTGTTTTTTATGGCTTATCAACCCTTTGAAGGTTATTTAAAGCCAGAAAATATTTTTAGGTTATAACAATTTTTTGGGGAGATAATGATTTAGTGTTAAAAATCTTATCAATTAGGAGGAGAAGAGGTGGATTCATACCTTTCCCAAGGATATTTGCATATAAGTGAATATAACAAACCCAATGGGAATTGGAACTTGGCTCTCCAATTAACAATTCTGAGCCATTATCCATTACACCCCTCACACATCCAAGCTTACAGCACCTGGTATTCCCAAATGGTCACCCATCTAGGTACTCACCTAGCTTGATGTTGCTTAACTTCGGTGATTGTACTGGAACTGACGTTTCAATGTGATGTAGACATAAGCCAAACAGTCAGTAGAAAAAATAAACATAGCATCACAACGATGAAGCAACAGATATGAAATATAGGAACTACTTAAAAAGATTGGTCCTCTCGTAAAAAAACAGTAAAAATTCTCCAGGGGGGAATAATTTTTGAAGATTAGCATTCTTTAAAACTTCCCCAAACCACAAGGTTGATGGAATGGAAAATTGATATTTTACCCCAAGCAAGGCAATAAAGTTACTGAGAGAGAGAGAGAGAGAGAGAGAGAGAAACAGGAATTAAGAAGACAGAAAATAATGATTTAGATTGCATTTAAATTTTTGAATATCAGAGTTGACTGGGAAGCAAGAAACCAGAAAAGCCAGAAGTATGAGAGAATAAACTGTCCGCAAAGAAATTATGTTTACATCGAGCCAGTTCAATTGTAAAATGATGAGACCTAGTTGCCAATCTAGTACTGTGCTTAAATTTGTAATGTCTAGGTACCAAAGACAAAGCCTATTAGAACAATTACCATGAAAATATTTATAGTTATGTTATGGTGGTAAGAAAGTGATTGAAGATGTCAGATCAGGACTAATAACATTACATGCCATATTTTGGAAAAGAGAGAAATTATTGAGGACCACAAAGGATAGGAGGTTATGGAGAAACATGATCATGCACGTCTTGAAGTGATATAGTACATAGAATATATATATATATATATATATATATATATATATATATATATATATATATATAGTTTTAGGCAGCAATCCGTCATTTATACATGTTTCATTAAAGACGACAGACAAGGTACTGTCAGTAAGCTTTTTATTTAATTTTTCTTGCGTTCTTTTTGCAGTAGATAATTAATATAACTTTTTTTTTGTTCATGTTAACTGGGGTAGTGCATTTCTTTGATATTTCTAAGTGAAATTTGGACAGTTTCTACACACTGTGTCCAGAAAAGGAAACACCTTTTCGAACACAAGAAAAATTAAATAAAAATCTTAATTGCAGTACCTTGTTTGTTGTCTTTAATTAAACATGTGTGTATGCGTGTGTGTGTATTTTCATTTTTTTAAGGATGAGTTGTCCCAGCTATATCTGATGATATAAAGCACTTGTCTGCTTTTGGAAGATTGATGGAAGAAGAAAAGACCAAACTTTACAATGCAATTTCTGTGAAACCTGGAAACTGAAGAAAAGAGACAATACTTTGAGAACTGTCTCAGGCTAGGGAAAATATCAGAGATAAAATCAGAATACCTGCAATAAGGAAAAGTTTGAATGCAAAGATTCACATACCATATATACTTGTGTATAAACCAACTTCATGTATGGGTGATACCCAAATTGTTTTTGCATGAATACCCCCACCTCCAGAAAAAAAAAACCACCTGTGTATAGTGCAACTAGTCATGCATGATTTTTAACCTCTTCCAAAAAACTGTGTATAGTGTGATTTCCTATGTTTTTGCATAAAATAACTGATCATAAAAAATTGCAGTATACTTGAGTAAATATGATAATTACTTTAGGAGGAGAAGGCTAAACTAGTTTGGTCAAGTAGTGAGAAGAGGAGAATGCTTTGTGTATAGATTGCAAAACTAGACAACTTCTCTAGTGAAACACTGCCTGAGAGATGGGAAAACCAAATCAGAGAGGACACATGAATACTACTATTGACACTTGAAAGGATTGTCTTGGACAGGAAGTGATGGTAAAGTTTTGTGGCAAAAAGGCACAGAAGGATCATTTTGGGATTAGAAAAAGTCAAGGACAATGTTTTATGAGGCCAATGCATTTTTATTGTAGTCTGTATAAACCTGATCATAAATAGTTTTCATAGCTTAAACATATTTCTCCTTTACAGAGAGATTGGCAATAATGTTAATGACTTCAAGATTATAGGTAACATCTCAACAGAGTTCAAAATTTGTGATCAAACCCTTGAACTTATTTTTTAGTTTCTTGAAGTTACCATTGCTTCATTTTACACACTTCTTCAGGTATTTAACAAAGTTCTTAAAAAAAGATCTTTGTCATATATATATATATATATATATATATATATGGTATCAAATGACAATTGGAAAAAATCATACATTTTGCCGACGCGTTTCGTCTTCCGACTTTTTCAAGGTAAAAATGAAATCAAAATGTTTTTGCCGTTATAGTTACATTAAAATTCAAAATTAAAAAGATAGACGCTTGTGTCTAAGCCTTTTTTCTGGTTAATGTAAAATTTTTACATTTTTTCTGGTTAATGTAAAATTTTTACATTAACCAGAAAAAAGGCTTAGACACAAGCGTCTATCTTTTTAATTTTGAATTTTAATGTAACTATAACAGCAAAAACGCGTCGGCAAAATGTATGATTTTTTCCAATTGTCATTTGATACCAATCTGTCTTGTCCACAGAATTCATCTGGGAATTTAACTATATATATATATATATATATATATATATATATCTCACATACACACACGCACTTCTAAAGAAAATTGTTTGGAATGAGATTTAAAAAAAAAAAAAGGCTGATATTATCCATATATGTAATTCTCTTTATTAAAAAATCTTTCAAAAATAAAATATATTTTTCTGAAATTTTATTTGAGGAAGGTTAGGTGATTTAAAGTTTAATTACTCTGATTTGAAACAAATATTACCAATTTTACATTCTGATAATATTGTGTATGGATGCGTATATTTACAAAAATCAGCATGTTTATGCACACACACAAAATTCTTTTTAAAATACTGGGGCAGGGGACTGAATTGTAATAAGCTTTTTCCATTTATGATTAGTAAATATAGTTTTTCCTTAGTAACAATATTATCGAACCAGGACAAATTAATACAGAATTTTAAAAGATTTAAAAGTTTATAAATTATTCTAATTAAAATTTTAAATGAAAACAATTCTTGCAAAAATTCATTATTTATCAAAAAAAAAAAAAAAAAAAAAAAAATGTTGTTCTTATGACAATAGTGTCCATAATATATCTTAATCAAAAGCAATTAGAAGCTTTTGTATTTTTCAGTAACTGAGGATATTGTTTTACAAACAAAATTGAGGATTTAAATTCTCCAAGGACTTCTGCTTATAACTAACATTAACATTAAGCCCTACAAAAATGAATTTCTTGAAATTTCATAAAATTACATAAAAGGGGAGTGTTGTAACAGGTGTAAAAATAATTTTGTTACCAAATCTTTTTTGAATAAGTGCTGAAAGTTTCATTAAAATCTGACATTTGCTTGATTTTTGCAAGAATTTCCAAATCAATGTTTTTCACTGCAAAATGACACTAAAATTTTCTATACCAATCTATGGCCACTTGCTGACACAATGAAAAACAAAATTTTTAACCAAAATTTTGAAGGTTTTAAAAAGATTAAAAAATATAATTTAAAAAAAAAAAAAAAAAATCATGTATACTAATTTTTTAGTGAATTTTTGGTAGTACGTACATATATTATACAGGGTGTATCAAAAATACTTTTACAAACATTGGGGGCATCTTCCTCACACCAAAACAAGGACAAAAGTACATATAAACATGTCTGCAAATCCTTCATTTTCAAGTTATTAAGTTTAAAGAAAGTTTTCAGTAGAATCAAGAACCTGCCCCCAAATTTTGTAAAAGTATTTTTTATATTGTATCTTGGATTGTACATTTAACAACATCTACCATAAACTTTAAACTTAATAACTACATTTATTTGTTTATTAGACACTATGAAATGGAAAGACTATATTGAATCCATTGTTAGGTTAGCTGCTAAGAAATTGCTCCATTTGTTTTCAAGGATTGTTTTCTGTTTTTTAATTCAGCGTTCTCACATTTGATAGAACGATTTTCAAGTCACTCAAAGTGATGTCATATAAAAGGTCAAACTGAAATTTTTATGTTTAAAAAAATAAATACAAACACTTCGATATACAGTCCCATATGGAGAAAGTTAGCTTGTTTAATGTTGGTTACTTCTTTTATTAAAGGAGTCTTTCTGATTGTATTTTTTTTTTTTACCTCTTTTTACCTTACTTAATTTCTGAAAAGCATCTTTCATTATTCCTATTTGTCATCAGATTTGTGTCTCACTTCCTATCAGGTGTCATAACACAACCTCAATAATTACATATATAAAGAATGGGTAGTTTTGCCCACATCTCTTGCTGCCTGTAAGTAAAAGACTGCATATATAAGAAAAAAAAAACAAACTAAAAGATGACAACAATCAGGGTCAGGCTGAAATTTTTTCAGCACTTCCTTATAAAATTCCTTGTTGGGCTGAAGAGAAAATTAGCTTTCTATCAAGTCTTTGGAGGGTAGTTATTTATGGGCGATGCTGTTATTGAATAAATAAAAGGTAGATGAAAAGAAGCCAAAAGTTTTTGGTTCAGTAAACAGAAGCATAGAGAAAAAAAAAATATTGTAAGGCCCACAGGAAAGTGGGTTGACCTAATTCCCCCCCAAAATCACTTTCAATGACCAAATGCTAGAATTTCATTTGGATGGGTAGATTAAAGAACCAGAGGAACAATGTTCTTTGTATGCTGAACTGATAGAGCAGGGTGGGCAAAACTATTTTTAAAGAGGACTGTGTGTGTGTGTGTATATATATATATATATATATATATATTACACACTAGCAGTATAATCCGTCTTCGACCAGGTATTTCATTACTGGTAATTTTTGCCGTTCAGTTGGAGCAGTTTAAGTTTAAAGTCAGCTTACCTGAAAATCAATATTAGTAACAACATTTCAGTGCAACTGAGGCACATCTCCAAATTGGGGGTTTTAAACAATTTAAATGGGGGGGGGGTTGACCCTGAAAAGGGCCGTTTTTGCATTCTCAATCTTGCAGGGAAGGAACCTCTTCCATGGACTGTTATGGCAGAAGAGAGAATTGGTGGGGGAGAATGTTTCTTCAGGATGTAGATGCATTTTCTATTGTTATTCAACATACTGGAAATGATGCCATTTCAAGGTGAGGCAATGTGGTTG